ATTCCTCTACCTGTCGTCACTTTGGGCTCCTCAGGTTTGAATTTGGAAGAAGTATCAAGCGGGACCCTCGTCTGTGAGTGAATTGTGAGGACGCGTCAGGCGGGAGCCCCCTCCCTATGGGGCCCGCAGATCACGTTACTAATCCGAGCGGGTCATCGGATTCCTCTAACTGTTGTCACTTTTGGGCTCCTCAGGTCTGAATTTGGAAGAAGTATCAGGCGGGAGCCTCGTTTGTCAGTGAATTGTGAGGAAGTCTCAGGCGGGAGCCCCCTCCCTATGGGGCCCGCAGATCACGTTACTAATCCGAGCGGGTCATCGGATTCCTGTAACCGTCGTCACTTTTGGGATCCTCTGGTCTGAATTTGGAGGAAATATCAAGCGGGAGCCTCGTTTGTCAGTGAATCGCGAAGAAGTCTCAGGCGGGAGCCCCCTCCCTATGGGGCCCGCAGATCATGTTACTAATCCGAGCGGGTCATCGGATTCCTGTATCTGTCGTCACTTTGGGCTCCTCAGGTTTGAATTTGGAGGAAGTATCAAGCGGGAGCCTCGTCTGTGAGTGAATTGTGAAGAAGTCTCAGGCGGGAGCCCCCTCCCTCTGGGGCCCGCAGATCATGTTACTAATCCGAGCGGGTCATCGGATTCCTGTAACTGTCGTCTTTTGGGATCCTCAAGTCTGAATTTGGAGGAAGTATCAAGCGGGAACCTCGTCTGTGAGTGACTTGTGAGGAAGTCTCAAGCGGGAGCCCCCTCCCTATGGGGCCCGCAGATCATGTTATTAATCCGAGCGGGTCATCGGATTCCTGTAACTGTCGTCACTTTTGGGCTCCTCAGGTCTGAATTTGGAGGAAGTATCAGGCGGGAACCTCGTTTGTCAGTGAATTGCGAGCAAGTCTCAGGCGGGAACCCCTTCCCTATGGGGCCCACAGATCATGTTACTAATCGAGCGGGTCATCGGATTCCTGTAACTGTTGTCACTTTTGGGCTCCTCAGGTTTGAATTTGGAAGAAGTATCAAGCGGGACCCTCGTCTGTGAGTGAATTGTGAGGACGAGACAGGCGGGAGCCTTCCTATGGGTCCCGCAGCTCACGTGGTTCCTCTGGGTCATCCTCCGGCGCGCGCTTCCTCTGGGTCGTCCTCCGGCGCGTATCGGCTGGGACGCACGTCGTGCGCTTCCTCTGGGTCGTGTTCCGCACGAGGACGAGGAGGAGGAGGATTGCCAGGAAAAGGAGGAGGGATGATGCAGGACGAGACAGGAAAGGCAGGAAGAGGAAGAGGCTGAGGGGAGGAAGGACGAGGAGGAAAAGGAGGAGGAGGAATGCCCGAGGAGGCCCCAGTAGGTCCCGGAAGGCCCAGAAGGCTCCAGGAGGCCCCAAAAGGCCCCAGGAGGCCCCAGGAGGGGGCAGGAGGCCTAAGGAGGAGGCAGGAGGAGGAGGAGGAGGAGGAGGAGGAGGAGGAGGAGGAGGAGGAGGAGGAGGAGGAGGAAGAGGGGGGGGGAGGAGGGGGGAGGAATATGGAAACGAGGAGGAGGAGGAGGAGGAAGCGGATGAGGGAGAGGGAGAGGAGGAGGACAGGGGATGAGGAGGAGGAGGAGGAGGAGGAGGAAAAGGAGAGGGAGAGCACGAGGAGGAGGCAGGAGGCAGGAGGGGCAGGGGAATGGGGGGGAGGAAGCATAACGAGGGGGAGGGGGAGGAGGTGGAGGAGGCAAGAAGAGGAGGAAGAGGCAGGGGTTGAGGCAGGAGGAGGAGCAGACAGGAGGAGAACGAGGAGGCAAGAGTAGGTGGGAGAAGGGAAGGGGCAGGAGGATACCCCCATGCAAGCTAAAGAGATTATCATGCGGGGTCCTTCCGTCGGAGTAATCCCACCAGCCCTTTGGGCGTGAGTGGTTTAGGGAGCTCTCTCTGTCCTCAACCCCCCTTCTTCCCCTTCGGGGAGGGGTTTACCCCTCCCCCTACCCCCTCCCCCTGGGCCTGGAGAGGGCGGGCCGCGGGTCGTCAGGGGAGTCTTTTTCGACTCCTGGAAGGGCCAAAAAACGACGACCCTCACGAGGTTTCTGGCCCCGAGGGGGGGGAGGGAGTTTGGCGCCTGAAATTGTCGTTGAAGTAAAAAATATTGATTTTACTACGGTGTTGGCCCCATTTTGGCCTTCTGAGGGGGCCGCGTTCCTCTTCCTTCATAGCAAAATCATTGATTTTACGAAGGTTTTGGGCTCATTTTCTCCTTCTCAGGGGCCAGCGCTCCTTTGCGCTTCAGAGGGCCCCCAAGAGGCCCCAAGAGTCCCCCAAGAGGCCCCCAAGAGGCCCCCACGAGGAGCCCGAACGACTCACACCCGGACGAGGGGCCCGAACGACTCACACCACGAAGAGCCCGAACGACTCACACCAGGAGGAGGGGCCCGAACGACTCACACCAGGACGAGGCGCCCGAACGACTCACACCACGAGGAGCCCGAACGACTCACACCACGACGCGGGCCCCGAACGACTCACACCACGAGGAGCCCGAACGAGTCACACCAGGAGGAGGGGCCCGAAGGACTCACACCAGGATGAGGGGCCCGAACAACTCACACCACGAGAAGCCCGAACGACTCACACCAGGACGAAGAGCCCGAAGACCTCCACCACGAATAGACCGAAGGACTCACACCAGAAGAAGGTGCC